ATTACAAATCTTGCATCGGGGCTAATACTTGTTTTAGATTATCTCTGTCTATAGTACCGATCTGTTTTGTAATCGCCTCCAGCTCATTGGATGCGGAATTCTGTGCAAAGTTATGGGGATGAACAAGGTAAAGTTCTTTTTATGCATTCAATTTATTGCCCCCTCCCCTCCCCCCAATATGTACATCCATATTCGAGAATCTTTAAGACTTTCTCTGTCAATATTAATGAACTCTCTATAGTGTTTACATGTTTGTATGTCTCTCATTTTTGATGAAATTGATTTCGTGAGCTTGAAATATTCAACCATCATGTTTGAGTGGCATATTTGCCTTCATGAATGTCAGTTCAAATTGACTACTCGAATTAGATCAACTCAGCATCAAATCGAGCACAGGTTCTGGGATGGTCACATTTTGCGATCAGTTTGAGGTCAGCTCCATTTGTTCTGATTGCCCAAAAATAATATTCTCTCTTCAGCTCTTCAGACAGAAAGTAAGCTCGAGAACAACTGAGTTTGAGCTTGAATTTGAGATATCATCAATTTCTACGCTTTTATCATTAATCCAATGGTATACGACTATAGAAAACAGACCAAATCAGCTTGACTTGAATAGATTTCTGCTGCACACGCTGAACAAAAACTATGCCTAAACTAACTTGAGTTTTATAAGTTACAACTTGCTTGTTTATACCATTTAAATCAAAATTCACTAACCATTCACTTCGTTTGTTTTGCTTAAAAATCTGACTATGTAAAAAATTATTACGTCATTGCATCTTGTTTTGTTTTGCCGAAAAATGCAGTCAAAAAATAGCCAAGAAGTAATTTTGAACAACGACATCGAGTCCCGAACGACCGAAATCGAGAGCAACGCCAGCAGTATCACCTTGGCAAAAATACAGGAAACTATTTGGTGCAAACGACAAATTTCAGTTGAAAATCTTCAGCAATACTTACACGCAAACCGCAGACATCTTTCAGAAACCGATATAGATTTAATTCAACATGCCTCGGCAAAAATTGCGACAATTTCGCCTCACGTCTCTTTGCAAAAAGCCGAGTTGAAACTCGTGTTTTCAGACCCGACATCGAAAGTCGTCGTTTTCAGATCGGGTAAAAAAGTGTCGAATCGATACCTCGGAATTACGAAACCGGGTCAAGGCGCTGCTTTTATTATCAGAAACAAAGATTGTTATTACTCGTTTAAAGAGTTTATAACCCAGTTCAATTTTTTGCCCTACGTTTGGTTTGTGGTTTATACTGTTGCTATTTGCGCTGCAATATACACCATGCTTGCAGTATTTAAGAAATTGAAATTAAAACTGCATATGTCTGGTTGTTTAAGCACAAAAGTTGCTACTGGATTATATAATCCCCATTGTGCTGCTTCTAGTTAATGAGCTTTTATTTTGTAATTGTAATGAGATTTAACCGCAAAATATATTTTTCTATTTTTATATTTTCTGAACTTTACAATAGAACTTTTTCCATAAATCAAACTTTTTAGCATGTTGCTGTGCAGTATTTGTAGTAGATTTGTTGGGGGGGGGGGGGGGGAGGGGTGGGTGGGGTCAATTACGTATTTGAACCCTCGATACCCAATATGTCTACTTTTTACACTATTTTATGACACTCATTTTCAGTTGAACATTTTCATACCTCGGCAAGCTGCCATTTTGAGTGATCATTTGTTGTTATTGTTCTTAATTGTATTCCTTGGTATGTTTTTGAATTGTATATGTATGTGTCTCTCTCCTAACAAAACACTACGATAAGCTTAAAATCTCTCAAATGGCGTCCTTGACCAATACATACTAATTTTGGAGGGGAGTGCGGGCCAATATAATTGAATTTTTTTGTCAAATTCCTTGGTAAACCATTAAACAAGACTGCTCTTATATCAGGGCAAAACCTTGAATGTTCCGACTGCCCCTTAATCCATATCGAATAGATTTTTGCGAAAAAAAATATATTGAAAAACTATAAATTTTGGACAATATCAAAGATCAAGTGTAATAAGTGAAATTAATACGACCGATTAGCTAGCCTCAATTCAATTTGGAATGGAACAAGTTTGTTTTGCGGTTTAATTCGCCATGCATATAATTAATTTGCATTACGCTTTCAGGATTATGCATAAACTCTTCAAAGTGCGCATAAATTAGTCCAGAGCATGAACAAATTGGCAATTTTCAAATTGGCAACTTGCAGAATATGATTGGAGGCAAAATAAATTTTTTTCAAATTTGGTTTCAGGTTGTTTAAAAGCTATCGTTTTGATCGCCGAAAATGGATTGAATGAAAATTACACCAAGCATAATTGTTCAGTTTTCTTCAAAAAAAATTAAGGCAGACAGTTTTTTGGTAAACAAAGATCAGCTTAAACTTTGTTTAACTTCGGAAATTGAATTTACTTTTGGAATGTTTTTACTGACATATTGTTTTTTTTTGACATCCATTGCCACCTTTTCTTTTAAATTCCGTACAAAAATTTCTTTTGTTTTCCAATCATTAGTCAAGGGAATCAAATCACAAATGGATTTTCCAAAATTGGGTTTGAAGACAAATCCAAGTTTCAGTTAAGAATCTATCAAAAAGTGTCAAATGACTTCTTAGTTTTACACATTAACGACTTTTTTGTCTCTGGATTCTTCACTTTGTCCTAAAACTTGAGAAAAATAACTTGAGCTCTCCATATGCGGAACCAAGTTTCATCTTGTACAACATCTTGTTCGAGCTTATGTATCTAAAATTATGCATTATAATCTCTTGAATCCATGTAAATGATAACGGCTTTTTCTCCTTTTTCCCCACTTCCGAGTTTTACAAGTAATATTTTTCGCTGAGTAAAGGACAAAGGCATTTGCTCATTTTCCTCATTTTCCTTGTTTTCTACCTAGTGGTCTATTTAACTTTGACACTTCCAACATGAATTCTTACAGAATTCCTGGGAGTTATTTGCGTGTCGAAAGTGATTTCATCGCAACCGTCGTTAAAATTTTTTGTTGGGGCTCTCCTTTTGTTTGCCTCAGGCTGCCGGTTGCTGCATCAATTTCTTAATTTATAGTTACCAAAAAAAAGAATTTTTTTTTTCTATTTTTATTTCAGATTCATCAATCAAAAAGTTTAGGTAAGAGAAAAATCATGAATTGAGCTACTTTTTCAACAACTCAAAAATTTGTTCATTTCCAACAGAGTTTTTGCTTAAAAGCATGTTCAAAGTCTACTGGGTTCGGTGCAAAATGTATCATTTCAAGCAAAATTATACCAACAAAATTGAGCTGAGAGTGGTTATGTTTCCAAAAATTTTAAACATTTTTAGCCAATCGAAGGTTGGAAACGAGTAATGAACGGAAGTAAATTAAGAAAAAACACTGACTTTGTTGAAAAATCTCAACTTCTAAATTTCAATGAAAAAATAGATGATCTTAAAGCTCTTTGAATTTCTAGACCGATTTATGATTGGCCTTTTTTTGATAACATTAATCCAACTTGACAAAACTGGATCAACAGGTAAAGTTTTTTCCGCTGGAAATCCTAAAATTAAACTTCGCTTTCGAAACTAGAAACCGTTCACGTTTTTTTTGCGCCAATTCCACGTTCGCATTTAGAGAGTGCTATTTACGTCACTTTCAGAAGATTAATTTCAATTGAACTCAAAAAGTGCAAACAAAGCTAAGTGCATTCATAAATGCATCAATATGTATGAATGCACATCTCTAGTTATTAGTGTATTTTCAGATTTTTCCTGAAAAAAAATCAAAAAAATCACCGAGACCTTTATAAGAGTCTTCACTGTCTTCCTTACTCTTAAAAATCATGAAAGAAAGTATGTTTTCAATCCAATTTTGCGACATTTTTGCAAATAATTGAGGCTAGCTTTTGCAAACAAATATACCGAAAATGCGTAACTTCAACTTTTTTGAGGTTTTGATCAAAAACATTTATTTTGACGAAGCGACATGATTGTGAGTTTTTAAGGGAAAGGGGAACTGAGACCTTCAACCCCCTCCGTAATCCACTACTGACACGATGGTTGAACATAGTTGAGCCACACATGGATTTCATCAGATAAATAGACCCTCCATAATAACGTTGTCCATAAAACTTGGCCACTTGAATTTTTCAATTTAAAATTGAGCGCAAAAATAAAACGATATCAACAGTGAGCTTCTTAAGCTCAAAAGATAAAGTAATTGGTAGCGCCATAACCATTTTGAAAAACTTTTGCATGATTTTGAGTTATAAAATCAATTTTACAACAATCGTGGTTGCATGATTTCCTTTTGAAGCTAGAATTTCTAGCTGAATTGTTTGAGCAAATCACCTTTTGCTGAAACAAATGATCGTGCATTTACGCAAACGATATTCTTCATTTTTTTGCAGTTTCGAAAAATGAATACCTTTTCGTAAATTGTTTTTAGATAGTGATCTCATTGTCACTTCATATTGTTGAGTGATCCATCCTACGATAAATTCGTAATCTATTCCCCTGTCATATAGTTTTTTTTCAAATCATTTAGCTTGCGATTTAGTTAAATGTCTTCCGCTTTGTCGCTTTTCTTGTCGGCTTCTTTTTCTTCCGGCTCTCTGTCCTCGTTTTCTTTTTCTTTTTCTTCTTTTTCTTTCTTATCTTTTTCCTGCTGCTCTCTTTCAGCCTGTTTTTCCTTTTCTTCCCGTTCTTTTTTCTCCTGTTCACGCCTTCTTTCTTCTTCCTGTTCACGTTTTCGCTCTTCCTCTTGTTCACGCCTTCTCTCCTCTTCTAGTTCACGCAGTCTGTCCCGTTCACGCTCTCTCTCCATCTGTGCTTGCTGTTCTTTCTCCCGCTGTTGTCGTCTCTCATCCATCTGTTAACACATCGGATCAGTTTTTTATAGTATTTTTGAATTATATTCTATCTTTTAATGTTTAAAAATCTAAGGCCTCAATAAGAGACTATTATTAATCCATTCTTTTTTGACACTGCTATCAGTCCGCCATTTTAATTTTTGATTTTCCCTAGAAGCGAATTTCAGAGTCGACGAAATTTGAATGACGTTTTTGTAAAGCTTACAAAGTTTAGTAGGCCTATATAATTATATATTTTTTGTATTTTTAATTGATCCACTGACCTGTTGCTGTTTGCGTTTCCTCTCCTCCATCTGTTTCTTAGTCATGTCTGCAGCCACAATCTTGGCCGCCTTTCTGAAGGTGATACAGGCACAGATGGTCACAATAAGGAGTAATATTTGGAACAGTAGAATGGCAGCTACCAACAAAAACAGCAGCTAAACAAAAGTAAAAACAATAACAATCGAAGAAGTTGCCAGACAAAAACATAGCCAGTATCGAAAAGAACTATTAACACATTGAAACTCTTCGAGTTACAAGAAATTTTTTTGATTGCATATATTTTGATTACACTGGCATATTTATTGCAAACTGGATGATTACAATCAGGATCATCCCAAGCAGTTTGCAATTCACAGCCAAAATTGGAAAGGCCAAAACTTTGCAAGTAACAGCCATTTACACTGGTCGTTATTTTATTATGACAGAAAGTGATTTCAGTTACGCTTATTAAATGAATGCTAAGGTAACTTTTCAAGAAATCTGACTTTGAAACTTGTTAAGACAAAAAATAAGTTTTTTATTGAAAAGCGACAAAAAAATGACGTGATCTGAACAGATGAGAAGAAACACTTGGCTCACCACATTTTAAAATTAAAAAAAATACAATTAACTTTTAAAAATTTTTTTGATAATTTTTCAATAATCGAACAAAATCATAATACTTTGTTGACAAAAGACATCTAGTAACAGATACGATGTCTAACAGAAAGGAAACGCATCGGAGAAGCCCAGTAGGCATGCACGACCTGTTTTCAAATTTTTAACTAGCGTGATAATCATGAAATTTCATACTTCTTAGATCCAAGATCATTTCAATGGTAAAAGCATAATAAATGTACACCCGGTTACACCCTACTTTCAACCATTTTCTCAAAATTTTTCTATACTTTTTTTTCGTTTCGGTGGGCAGTGGTTTCAATTTTTAACCTCAAAACTACCAGAATCAGATTCTTAAGATTCAACAAAAACTATAATAGCAAGTCCCGTCAAATCGTTTTTACAAAACACCTTCATAAAACTGTTTGGGTCTGATAGTGGCACGTTGTCTTGGTTTTTCTGAGACTGAGAGTCAGTTTTTTTCCGACATTAGACTTTTTTTGTGAATTTTAAAACAGTGTCATTTGTGTGCAAAACTTTTTTATTAGTTCATGTTAAGACTTGAATCATTTATGTATAGAATGAAACATAGCCAACTAACATTTAGAAAAGAATGATGAACGCAAGGAAACCTAAAAAAAGTAACTTGTTTTTTCAAAAGCCTTCAAACTTCAAAGAAAAAAAATAGATGACCTTAAAACTCTTTGAACTTGTAGAACAATTAATAATTGAACTTGTAGAACAATTAATAATTGACAATTAATAATAAACAATTATTAAAATTTTTTTTGTCTTACCCCCCAATTTGAGAAAACTGGATCAATACGTACAACTTTTGTTTCGCTGGGAAATCTGATAATTAATTACAATTTTCGAAATAAGAAGTCAAGCTCGTTTTTCGTGATCTTACAATTTTGCTGTTCGATAGTGGAGTTTGTCTTCCTTTTAACAATGGAAATGCACTGAATTTAAAAAGAAACCAAAAGTCAAACCGCGAAAAATCAAAATTGAGCGTGAACAAATTTTAAAACTTTTTCCTGAAAAAAAACCAAAAAAAATAGCAAGACCTATATAAGAGTACTCACTTCGTTCATTACTCTTAAAAAATGGGAATGAAATTCGATCCCTGATGTACCCTTAAATGTTTGCTCAAGATTGGTCACTAAGACTTTTTCTCAAATTGCTGGTGACGAGTGTCAGGGTAAGACACGGATAGATTGAACACAGGCACCCGGTTTTCCACAATTTCTAACTTGTTTAGAAATTGGAAAGATCACAACTATCAAATCTTTTTTGTAGTCTAAAAGCTTATCTTGTAATTGTTTTTCTTGCCCAATCCTGACGCCCAATCATAACAGTGTAAAAATTACGTCAACCGTGGTCTTTTTCTTCTTGAAGGAAAGTGAGTGTTTTGATTTGTATAATGTTTGTCTACTTACAGTTGAGCTCACTGACAAATAAATGCACAAGTTTTTTTTTACCAGAGTGATAGTAGCAAAAAAGTCTCTAATTTGAAGGAGTATCATTTTTCTTTCCTTGAAAAATGTTGCAATTATGGCGTTAAGGGTAAGTTCCTGGTTTTAAATAACCATTAAAAATCTCTGCTAGGAGACCTGATAGTAATTTTTTCAATTGTTTGAAAAAACAGTGATGGAAATCTTGCATTTTGAACTGTTTTTTTTAGACAAATCTAGTGACATGGATAATTTCAATTACTCCCATTTCGATACAAAATTTTCGAGAAAAGTTTAATTCTAGGTTTAGTCTCAAGCTTCTAATTTTTTGAACCATTTTTTTTGTCGGATCATTATTTTTAAACAAATTTGTTTTGGGCGTTGAGTCTGCTCTAGGCATCCGTTGTTTTCTAATTTTCGAAAATTGTTGTCAGAGCCGTTTATAAACATTGATTTCAACAAATCATTTCAGTATTGGCATTGTTATGAGTTGTTGTAAGCTAAATTATGATCAATGGAAGTTATATTCAGTTCTGAACATCGTCTAGCTGGCCAAATTAAAGCGAAAAAAAAATTATAAAAAAGACAAATAACCATTCTATAACGGCCTAACTAGCCCCATTAGCAAGGTTTATTGACCAAACTTTTTGTGAAACTGGTTCTTTTTTTTTGAAATTAAACTTTCTTCAGTATGATAAACAATACGAACAAATATGCCTTTCTATGGAAAGTGCTTCAACAATTTTAACTGCAAACTTGTTTCTACACACTCCGGCGTGAGTCGCAACGAAAAGTGACTCGTTGTTTGTTTTGTTTCTTCACTTGTGTTTTAATTAAATAAAACGCATTTTTTGTTTTAATTTTCAGCAAAACTTTTGCCCTGTTTATAACACGCATCTATTTACAACCTTCAAAACGTCTCAAGGGTAATTTTAATTCCGAAATTTTGGTTCAAACATTTTTAGCGTCGAAATCATTTATGTTTAACAAAACCTTTTTAGACTGAATTAAAAGGTAAGTTTTGTCTGCTGGGAAATCTAGAAACTAAAATTCAAAGTCGAATTTGAAATTCATCCACGTTTTTGCGAGTTATTTGATTATTTGATCAGGAATCCAAACTTTCCTCTGAACATAGCTGATAAGATAATTCTTTGGAGTTCTTCAGAGCAGCTGATAGATGCTCATGAGAAACCCCAAAATTTAGGGAAACTGTAAAATATTACAACTTTCTTAAAAGAAAAGTTCCTATCTTCGAATTTTCTAGAGAGAAAAGTCTCTATCTTACAATTTTCTCATAAGAAAAAGTGTATCTTGTAACAAGCCTAATTTTGTAAGAAGTTGTAAGACTCCTATAAGAAAAGTTCTAAGATAGCGACTTTTGGTCAACCCGGGATTTTCAAATGAAAACTAAAAAATGACAATTTTTGTGTTTTTCTCAAAAAGTTTTCTTGTGTTTGGCTTCAGAAACCTAAACTTTTTTATGAGTTCTACGTAATATTTTCAAAATTCAAAACCTCGATTAATTTTTATAGAAATTCATATCATACTTCCGAAAATCATTTAGGCGTAAATCAGCCACTCACTATGTTATCTGAGAAGTCTTTGGTAAGAGCATCGTTCACAGGGTCCAAACTTCCCCCCGAATGAAATAACTTCTTGTTGTAGCACTTGGTGAGGAATGCGACACTCCCCTCCCCACTCCTGACCAGGGGGTACTTCTTCTCAGGCCACGCCCCCCACTTGAGGAATTCGATGTCGTAGAAGTCAGTGACGCCTTGGCAACAGGTGAACGGGGCCGTGTTGAACAGACCTGAAAACCGAAAAAAAAAATTCAGCATAGCGTTTCGATTATGAAGTGATACTTTTCATCTTAAAATAAATGACTTTTTGAATGGCGCTATAGTGTTTTTTGACGGAACAGTGGAGCACTCGTTCGAGTTCTGATGAAAAACAATTGTTAAGTTAGTTTTGCTGAACGAAGTATGAAGTCTCCAGACGTAAATTGAAGCTCATTTTTCAATCGTGGTTGTCTGCATGAAAATAGCCACGCTTGGCAGTTGCGGTATTGCATATTGCAAAAAAAAAATTTGCCCACAGCGGGTATCGAACCGCAAGCTTGTTTTCATTTGTAGTTGATTAAGACCATTTATCAACGGGGAAAGGACCAACATTAGAGCTGTACAGCTCATCACGGCGAACCGCTGTTGTGACCCTGTTTAAAAACTACATGCAATTTGTTCGTTTTTTTCTGGGCTGGGCAACGAGCACGGATCATGGTGGGCCTCGAACATCCGACCTTTCGATTGAGAGGCGGAGAGGTAACCACTTCACCACTTCACCACCGCTCCCCTTAGTTATTATAGAGACAGAAATAATGATGATACATACCATTGGCGTATTTCTTCCAGTTGGTGTTGTCGTAGTCCTTGATGCCATCCACGCCACATGAGCCGTACTGTGTCTGGATCATGTTCCACGCTATGCTCTCTGGATCAATGCGGTACTCCCCGTGGTACCTAACAAAAGAAATCAATACTTAATAGTGAAATTTCGGCTCGTCTGCAACCTCCTTCTCGCTGTAAATATGAAGACCAGATGTGTTGAAAAGGACAATTTGAACACCACATGCAAAAATTAACAAAGATAGTTAACAAAGATAGTTAACAAGGATAATTTAACAAAGATAATTTAACAAGGAAATTAGCAAGGATAATTTTTTTTTTAAATTAGTTTCGTCTTTTTCTTTCTGCGTGGTATGATAAAAAGATCGGAATTTTAAAAAGATATTGGGCATCTTTGACAATCATAGTAGAAAAAGCCATTCGGAAAACAGTTTTTGAATAAAAATGACTAGAAAAAAATTTAAAAAAATGTTTTTGCAGAAGTTTTTGGAATATTTAAACTTTTGTTTACACAATGGCGCTAAAAAACTCCAAAAACTATTTATTGAATACAACTAAGTTTTCACAGCTTAAAGTAAGCTTAAATAAGCTATTGTAAGCCTACACGCTCACACCATGTTAGTTAGAAAATAGAACAAAAAATAAAAGTTCAAACCGATTTCTCTCAACACTGTGGAAAAAGTTTTGAAATTTTTATGTCGTTCGAATCTCGGTGAAAGAGCTTTAAAATAGATATATCATGACCCATTCCGATAAATATTTGTAGTACCTGACTTTGCGTGGAAAACATATTGAAAAAAAACCTAAAACACACCCTATTACAAAGTTCATCCCCATTTTTCAATTGGACGGAACAAAAACAAAATGATAACGCTAAATTCGTTTTTCAAAGTTGAAACTCAAATGTAAAGGAAAGCCTTCAACATTCATCGAATTCGAAACCCTCTATAATTCAAGTTTTTAAAAAACCCAAAATCTTACCAATGTTTGCAAATGTGGACAAGGATAGCCAGTTTCTGTTCAAGTAACACAGAATGTTCGGACCATAGTCCAAAAGAATACAAATTTTTTTTTTCAAACAAGGGTCCTTTTCACCCGAGTTGTGATAAACGAACAAAAAACTGGAACTCAGAAATTCTCTACAGTCATATCAAAATTGGCATTTGAAGAAAAATGACTGAGAAAAAATTTTTTGAAAATTCTTTTAAAAAATCATATTTTAATCCAGAAATCATTTGAGGTTTTGAAGTTTTTATTTCGCAAATGGTGCTTAAAAAACCCAACAAACTTGTTTTAGTTGAGTAAAATTATGTTTTCACGCCCTAATTGAGCAAAAACAAATTTTTGTAGGCCTGCTCGCTTTACATTAATTTCCAAATTTAGACTAAAAATCAAAAGTTTCGCCCTGTTTTTCTCAATACCAGACGTTTTTTAAAATTTTTTAATGTCGATTCAATCACGTCTGAGAGGGCTTTAATAACAAAGAAAAAATTAAAAAAGTAAAACACACCCGAATACAAATTTTTTCCCCATTTTTGAAATGGTCGGAACAAAAAACTCATTGATTGATGAATAACTCCTCGTTATTGTTCCGACTTGGGTGTTTTCCTTCAGTTTCAGAATTTTGAAAAAAACTTGCATAGGGTCAAGTTAAATATCGTTTTGAAGTCCGAGTAGTCGCATTGTCGAGATAAGGGGTCAAAATGTAGCGAAAAACTAGTTGGTTCACACTAAAATGAGAGAAAATGGGACAAAACTTACTCTTCTTTTTTCGAGGGTGATCCAAACTTTTTCTTAATTTACAGGGTACAGTTATATTTGTTTAGCAGTCAATTCAAACTATTTTTAATCTTGGACATCAATCCCTCTACCTTAAAAAATTGAAACGAAAAAATCTTTTGAACAAGCAGTATTTCGATTTTTAAACTTTTCTTTTCTATTGTCCATTCAACTTTTTGTTGCAATGATAATTTTGGCTGAAAAATTTTCTGCACTGGCACAGCAGAATTTACAATTGAGTACTTATTCAGTAACTTTTTTCAGTCAACATTCACAACATTTACTGTATAAATACTATATGCCTCATTAGACTGTCGATCATGGCAACTTTCATCTCGTCCTTGTCTCCAAACTTCTTCAATTCCATCACGAAGAATGCCAACAGAATCACACTTACTAAAAAGCGCACAGATAATCTATTACGAACAAACATAAGGATTTTTTGTTACGAACATCGAAAATGGGGGTCTTTATGTTAAGCGGATTAAAAAGTACTCTTATGCTATTTGAAAGTTTAATCAAGATGCTAATGCCTAATTGGTTGAAATTCATGTCAGTGAAAAGAATCTCAGCGTTTCCAATAAAAACAGAAGCTCAATTAGCAGTTTGATAAACGGGCAGTGTAAGAGAAAAGACCCAAAATTGTTGGAATTTTGTTTTCGGGTGCTTTAGTTTTTTTGTTCTCCACGCAATATCAAGCACCACCAATTTTGTCAAGTGATATACCTTATTGAAATTTTTTTAGCTGTAATTCGAGCGACAATAATTCCAAAAAATCTCCCAGTGTAGAGAAAAATTGGTTTGAATTTTTTTTTGTTTTTTTTTTGTTTTAATTCTAGTGAATAGAGTGAGCAAGCAGGC